AAAAAAAAAAAAAAAAAAAAAAAAAAAAAAAAAAAAAAAAAAGCCCGGAAAAGAAAGACACCCGCTGGTTCGAACAGCACAGTGTAGAGGGCGTCTCTCAGAGTTTGACTCGCTTTCTTAAGACCTTAGATATAGCGAAATGTCAGTGCCATCTGGAGCATAATCTTACTAGCAACGGGGGATTGGATTAAGATCCTGAATCTGGGTGTGTTTTAGGCAGACATGCAGAAAAGGAGTTCAATCTCGATTTTCTTCACTTGTCCACAAACGCGGCTAAATAAAGGCGTTCAATCCGATCCTCTTTGCTAGTGGGACCTCGCCCCTGATGCCTGGAGGGAGACAACAAAGCTATGTTTGCAGGGGTGCCCTTTATAAGCCTTAGCAGTAGTGATAGGTAGGGAGTGAAGATGAATTGAAAGAATTTGAAAGATGATGAAAGATTTGAGAGAAGAATATAACGTAGTTAAAAATAATAATAATTATTATATTAAATAATAATTATTATTATAATAAATAATTAAAAAAAAAAAAAAGCCCGTGCAAACCTTATGAACGACCAACTGGCGTATAGCTCAGTTAGGATACACCCCTAAACTGTTGAAATACAGACCTGAGTTCAAACTCCAGCAGAGCCTGACGCAGAGAAGAGTAAAATGCTACGATTCTAAATTACCTAGGGCCGGTCAGTTCGATGCTGATATCTCAAGACCGTCGTCCTTCAGACAAACACAAACACAAACACACACACACACACACACAAAAAAAAAAAAAAAAAAAAAAAATCTAACGGGGGGGTAATCTGACCCCAAGGGTTGAGAAAGGTTCCGGAAAAGCGGCAACGACGGACATAGGATGTTTGGTAGTGTCCTTAAAAAAAAAAAGACTAAATTTATAGGTTAATTAATTTTATTTATTACTAGTCATCGGAAATTGGGAATGATATAAGGGAAGATTAGCATGGACCCTGCAAAAGAGGATGACACGCATAAATCGAGAAATGGTCCGAAATTTTATTAACAAAATTAAAAAAATCTCGTGCTTGATTACGTTGTAAGAAAAATGTCCTGATTATTGCTCACTATTGCGTCATTTTTGTTTGTTAAATTACCCTCTTATCGCTTCGTGCCAGTCCATGGAGATCTGCGTCGGTACATACGGGTTATATACGGTCGCTCAAAAAAAAGAAGATGCGATCGCTATAAATAGGCGACCGGTTGTTCCCCGATTGCGGATATGCGTTTTATCTCTTCATTCAATCTAACGAATTTTCTGCTGTTTACTATTTGAAGATAACATGAAAATTTATTTTAAATTAATTCCTAAATTTCTAAATTTCATCAGAAGCAGAAATGGAGAAAGAGAGTCAACGCAGCAAAAAAAAAAAAAAAAAAAAAAAAAAGACACAGAGAGGGCTGACTAATTACCTATTTCATGATCAGTACTCTGGTCGTGAAATCAATCAATCAATCAATCAATCAATCAATCAATCAATCAATCAATCAGTCTGTCAATCAATCAATCAATCAGTCAATTCATTAATCAATGACTTGATGACTCAAGCATTCAATATATCGATCATCCAATCAAGCAATCAAGCACTGTAAGAACAGAATTTGTTCCTTCTCCTAAGAATTCGTGTCATCCACTGCAAGAGGGTCATGCGTTTCTTTTCCTCCTCTTTTTTCCCTCCTTCCGAAAACGAAAGGTACTCACTTGGGCAGCCTGCTTCACACCGGCGATGTCACACCAGAGTGGCGGTTATGTCCTCCATACCGTTCGAATTTCCACAGTTGCCCTCGGCGATGTCACACAGGGCGAACCCTTCCCAAACGGAACGGAACGGAGTCAACCTCGAGACCTGTGTGTGTCACTGAGCGTCCCTTCCAGTTCCGATGCACACACGGAGACACCTCGATCAACTGCTGCAAACTGCTAACGGAGCGAAACGAAACGAAACGGAACGGAAAGGAACAGAAAAGAGCGGAAAGAAACGGAGAGAAGCGGAAAGGAACGGCATCAACCTCGACATCGATCGGCTACTGCAAAATACGAAACGCAACGGAACGGCATCAACCTCTACATGGATCGGCGACCACCACATACTAAACGGAACGGAACGGAACGGAAAGGGATCAACCTCGACACTCAGGACCAACGAATCGACTAAATACGTGGTCAACCATCTCCCTAGGAGGAGTCAACCTCGACACTGTCGACAGCAAGGAGGGAGAGTACAGAGAGGAGGAGGGACTCGATGGCGGCGAAGGTACAGGGGGGAATCAGGGGATCACAATAATACCGGCGCCGGGAAACGGAAGTTGCGACAATTTGCCGCCAAAGACGCTCTCAGATGATTCTACCCCGCGTTGAAATTCCTGAATATTTTGGCGGCGGCGGCGGCGGCGGCGGCGGGAATAGTTTGGCGCTCATTTACGATCAACATGAAACTGATTCTTGGATCTGTGTGTGACACTGTGCGATTCGCTGATTAGCGTAAGGGAAGATGAATGGCGCCATTCCGGCGGAGAGAGGTCACAAAGTTCGCGGAATGGCGCCATTCCGGCGGGACGAGGTCGCAAAGTTCGGAGAATGGCGCCAGCAGCGGAGGCCTCTACCGGCCCGACTTGAAGTGGCGGTAGCAGCAGAAGTCGCAGTGGGGGTCGCAGCGGCGGTCGCAGGGGAAGTCGTTCAGGCGGGGGCTGTCGCGAAAAGAAATTCTTGACCGATGAGCAACTCTACCCTCTTTCCCCGAATAGAACGTATGGTCAGTATGCCAGTATTTTTTGGCAGAACTTGCAGTCCAGATGCAACTGAAATGATGGTACATTCTATTCGGGTGAAGACCGTAGCTGAGGTGCATCCACGCGGTGGATCTAATTGCGGCCAAGTGCATCCACGCGGGGGTCAGAAAAGCGTCGTATGCATCCGGGGAAGTCCTTGTGTTGAAATGCAGACTGTGTTCTTTTTTTTTTTTTTAGTTGAAACGCAGACTGTGTTCAAATCCTTCTGGACCAAAAAAACAAAACAAAAAAAAAAAATCCTTCTGGACCTAGCTCGGTTGGTAAGGAACGCAAGTGGCATTCAGGAGGTCTTGAGTTCAATCCCCATTGGCCTGATGCACCTTCCTGGGCAAGCTTGGCGCCTGCCACGTAGAGATATGCCATTGGTCCCCCCGAGTGGCATTGAGCAGAGACTGCTGATGTTCATAGGGGGAGGGGACCGGAGGGGAGGCACAGTGACTGGCCCATCGAAGAAGCTCGGTCCTGATGCTACGGGCTGACCCGCGGTATCGCCCACCTGCTGTAGCAGGTATCGCACCTGCTGGTGGGTGCAGCTCCCGCATGTTCCCTCGTTGGAGGCTTGAGCACGGATGTGGCTGCTACGGGGTTCCCCGTAATAGTATAATGACAATAAAAAAGGCAAAATAGGAGGCGGTGGCTGCGGCCCGGCGAAACGCTGCGCTAACGCCACGGTAATTTCCTCACCGGAGACGGTGACGGTAACTCGCGGTTAGGTCACGGCGCGAAGACGGGTTCATGCTCGTGCAACCTTCCCTCTTTGGTGACAAGGAGGAAGAAAGGGAACGAGCCTGTTCTCACCATAGCTGAGTAGGTGAGTGCCAACCGTGAAATACCGGGGGGTCAGGATAGTTGCCCTGCCCCAACCACGCGTTACCGATGGTTCATCGAGTGAAATTCCTGCCTAATGAACTGAATTTTGCTGTGGAGGAGAAACCACACTCCGTGGGATCAGGCTGCTGCTTCCTTCGGATCGCAAGTGTGAGTTACAGTTATCGTTCGGATCGCAAGTGTGAGTTACAGTTATCGCGAACGGGCGATCGTTTTCACCGTGCCGCTGCAGGTATATTTCCCATGACTCTATCTGTGTGACCAAACTGTGGAGGGTTACTCAAGGGTTTCTATACGCCGTATACGGTATTTTCTCAATTGACGGATGCTTCAGTCTAGGTCTAAATCTCACTACTTTCATGGTAACTCTGGATACGGTAGGCTGTAGAACAGTGTATGAAAATGGTCGTGCCAGAAATGGACCAATCAATGTCGAGCGAGGAAAAAGACAGGATCAGGGACCTAATTTCGAAATGTTATATCGATGGAGTATTGCCCACGAACCTAGCTCCGAATTCGGTCGAAACAAGGGAAGATTACGTACGAGCAGTCATCAACCCGGCAGTAAACAGAATTCAGGAGGAATGGCTCATGGGCCACGCAGTTACTATTTCCTTCGGCGACGACGCGACTTCACTTCCCATCGATGTGAAAAAGAACCGCGTTCGTATGTACGAAGATGGTTGGGCGTCTGCGGGCGCCGTTTCGACCCCTCCCAAGAGAGGGCTTTTTCACAACGAGGGTCGGAACCTAGTCACGTACGTCGCCACCGCAAAGGAAATAGCGGACTGGATGCTCCATGTGGGCAAAACGGAGATAGAGCTGGATACAAAGAAATACTCTCTCACCTTTAGGCCGTGGATGTCAGAACACGAAATGTGGGAATGGAGGGAAGTAGCCAAACATCGTTTCTTCTGGATTAGGTGTTTGCAGGTACCGGTAGGTGCCCTGCCCCATCTCTCTAAGGCTGTGTCCGATGCCTTCGGCCCTATCATCAAAGAGAGCCAGGCCTTCTTCGATCCACTATCGCCAGATCTTTATGAACATTCGTTTCGACTTGGAATCTGCGGCTCGATTACGATATAAGCGTTACCTGATAGTCGACATGGGATATCTGGGTTACGTAGAGATTGAAGTTGTTTGCGCTGCCTCACCGTGGTGCCCAGCATGCAGGAAATATTTCCACTCGGAGGGCGATCCCGAGTACACGGCGAAAAACAAGAAATCATACCTTAGTGCAACCAAGTCTAACACTCGCAAACAAGAGCCGAAAGGTAGAAAGCAGGGAGGAGGCGACGGGACAAGAGCGGGGACAGGGGGCGGAGGAGAGGGAAGTGCGAGAGGAAAAACAGGCGGCAGCAAGGAGAGAGAGATTGGGAAAGACGGAGGATCGAAAAATGGAACAGGGACGGAGGGTAAGGTGGGAGGAGATGGGAGCGCCGCTCATGACGAAGGGAAGGAGGGAAGACCTGAGAAGGAGAAAAACGAAACGCGAGGGGAGAAGACAAAGAAAGAGAAAAAGGGGTCGGAGGTTAAGGACGATGCAAGCGGAAACAGGAAGGGAAACAGGACAAACAGAGAGGACAAGGGAAAGGGCCAAAATGCGGAAAAGGACAAGATGGAAAAAGAAAATGGTCCAATGGTGGGCAAGGGAGGAGGGAATCCCGAGGATGATGGATGATTAAGAAAGAAGGAGGAGAAGAAGTGGGAAGAATGAAAGGGAGACCAGAGTAAGGACGCAAAGTCAGATGGAGGGAAAGAGATAAGTCCCTCTCGGACGACACTCCCCAAGCCTCGCCGAGATGGGAGAGGAAACCACTCCTAAGTCGCATTGGGCGACAAAGTGCTTGTCGCTCCACTGCTGATTACATAGAAAGAGACGGGAACAGATAATATGGATGAAGATGTAACAATAATTAGAGAAAAGAGAAAGCGGGAAGATAGAGATGAACGATCCGAACATTCGGATATCGATACAGACTAAGGGAAAGCTTTAGTTCTATATGACAGAGACCATGCCCTTAAGGCAAAGGATGCCCCTCTCTCCCCCCTCCCCTCTTCCTCCTCTTCAGAAGGGGAAAATGACAAGGACAGGGAAGTGGGTTTGCTGCCCCCTATTCGGAGACTGGCAAGATCTCTCTCACCTAGGAATCAAAACATATTCTAATCAATCCTACGAACTTGACGTGAACGACCAGAACAGGGCTGTAGCCCTGTTCCTCACGAAGAGGCACAACTCCTCCCCGCTGGCAGCTACATTTTCAGTTGGGGAGAAGCTGAGGTCGTCACGAGAACTGTTTGTAGACTGTGAAGATGGGACTAATGACTCAGAGTATGAGAGGCAGCTCTCTGAGAACGACGATTTCAGTCCATCACCAGTCAGCTTATCCTCGCCCTCTCCAGCTAAGAAAACGAAGAAGCTGGCTCGCAGAACCAAATAAAAAAAGGTTCAATCTGGAGAAGGCCCAAGCAAGTTCAACTTCAGAGAAAGAACAGAAGGGAGAAAAGAGGACAAAGTCAGACAACCCCTCTCCCTTGCACAGCCAATGCAGACCCTGTCCAAGTCATCCAAAACAAATGGCACAATGAAGGAGTTGGTGGTCCCAGTCATCTGCACACAGTCCCCTCGCGGAATCATGGTTTTAACCAAGATTCTGGCTGACGAATCCCTGTCCATACCGGCTTTCTCATCTGCAGGCCCCCAGAGGAGGGCCAACTGATTGAGTGGACGACAGAGCAGGTATTAAACAATCATGGCACAGTCACAGTTTTAACCAAGCCCAGAAAAGGAAAATTTTTGGAATCAGATGGAGGGGGTAAAACAACCTCTGCACATTTCTTTTCTAGCACTACAAGCTGACACCGCTGATATGGCTAATCTGCGTAATCAGAGCATTCACTGGGTACCACTAGCCCATCTGTTGGATGTGGGCATCGACACCCCTACAGATATAGCTATCTCTTAGGACGTTTCCGCCCTCAGCATAACAAACTGGCTGGCTCAGTCGGAGGCAATAGATTTCCTTATCTCCCTAGCCTTTGCAGACATTCTCATTGCAAGACAAACAACCCCCAAAGCAACCCCCCACGAAGCTGCAGCCCAAGGGGGGGTAAACCAAGGGGAAAAAAATCATTCACCGACATCCAAAGCCTAAGCGGTAACGACCCTGCCAATGGTCCTACCAAGAAGGGTTAGAATAGCTACCTGGAACGTACGCGGGCTAGAAGACTCGAATAACAGATTCAAAAAATCCAGACTTCGGCCATCGGTTCACTCTCAAGAAATACACATTGTGTGCTTGCAAGAAACTAAGTTGAATATGTCCAAACTGGCGGATCTGCATCAGTGGTGGGACGACCCGCAGCTATGGACACCAGCAGATGGTTCCAAAGGGGGGGTGGCCATACTAATAGACAACAATTTGGAAATAGACATTTTAGACCAATATCAGGATCAAGATGGTAGATGGGGATGGATCAAATTTGAAATCGATTAAGAGGAATGGTTCGTAATGACGATCTACGCACCTGTGGACTACGCGGAGAGAGTGAATTTTCTAACCTCTCTCCCTGCAGCTATCCCTGACACAGAGGATCTAATTATAACTGGGGATTGGAACACGATTTTCAACCCCGGTTTAGATTCACTGAAAATTTACCCCATCCGTTCGGACACGGTAATGTTCCAGGAATTCTCAGACTCTCAATCCTTGTTTGATGTATACCGGACCCTCAACCCGGATAGCCATGGCTTCACCTGGTACAGCCCAAAGCCCAGTAAGAAGACCAGAGCGCCTAGAAGATGCCTTGATTTTTTTATGGCACGAGGCTCTCTGTGGGATCGTTGTATGGCCTGCGATTATTACAGTCCAGATCTCTCGGATCACTATCCGGTAGTCATGGATATACTAACTCGAGATGTCTTAGATAAGCATCGCCCCTCATTCCGACTGAACACCAACCTTCTCAAAGACGAGGGCATTGTTAGGTGGGTAACCAGTCAGATGAAAACGTGGATGAATGTCCAGGACCTGTTCACGGATCAGAACGTCTGGGCTAACACAGGGATAAGCATAATAAAAGTTGCGCTCATCCAATTCTCCAGAATGAAATCAGCAGCGCGAACATGGAAAGAGAGGTCCTTGACAGAAGATGTTAGAAAGGCTGAAGCCCCTATGGGTAGGGATCCTTTTGTTGACTACTATTGGTCAAATAAGAGATCCCTGGCCCTGTCCGAACTGGAATCGCTACACGTCCAAAAACACGAAGAATGGTTAGACTGGCTGCGCTTGAGGGGCATAGCCGGCTACGACCGCATGCCCAAGCTCTCCTTTCGATCCCTGATTCTACGCCAGGCCAAACCAATGATGAGAGAATTGACCCACCCCTTTGCGATTAGTGCCCCGATAGTCGTAGACACAGTTACCATGTGTGCTTATGCTCTAGAATACTACAGAGACATTGTTACTACCAGATGCCCCTATGACCCCCCCGATGTTGACTTGGCAAAATTCTCAGTTTTCTGGGACTCGCCCCACATGACCATCTTTCGAACGGCAAAAGAAGAGATGGACCAGCCGATGACGGAACATGAAATCCTGCAAGCTGCAAAGCTGATGGCCAAAGGAAAGTGCCCAGGCCGAGATGGGTTTCCAATCGAACTAATCCTAGCCTCCTGGTCAGCCTTTGCGCCGTTTTTCTGCAAAATCTATAATTCTGCCATCACCAACGAAGTCTTTCCCAATAGCTTCACACAAGGCCTAATCTCCCTTTTATATAAAAAGGGAGATAAAAGGGAGGTGCGCAACTGGTGCCCAATATCAATTGGAACGTGACGTACAAGTTGTTTGCCAAAACTTTAGCCTTGAGACTTGCCAAACTCCTACCCGATCTGATTGGGTGGGAACAGGGGGCTTTCGTAAAGGGTAGATTTATTTTTGACAACATCCTAGCTACGGTACAAGCCTTGGAAATCATAGGGAAGGAAAAAAGGGACGTAGCTGTCCTCCTTCTCGACATGAAAAAGGCTTACGACAAAGTAGGATAGAGTTTTTTTTCACGACTCTAAGAAAGATGGGTTTTGGCGAGGCCTTCTGCATGTGCGTCAAAGCCAGTTATAGCTAAGCGGAATCAGTAGTACTGGTCAATGGTAGACTCTCTGATAGCTTTCGCCTGACCCGTTCACTGAGGCAGGGTTGCCCACTAGCCCCGCTCCTTTTCGTTCTTCAGTTAGACGTTTTGCAAAACAATATTAGAAAAAGCGACTTCATTAGAGGACTAAGACTCTCCCCCTCCACAATGTGGAAGGAAGGGGGCATAGCAGATGATCTAACAATCGCTAGCGAAAATTCTGTAGAATCACTAGAAGAACTACGCTCGGTGATAGACACCTACTGTTCACTCTCTGAAGCATCCTTCAATTGGGAAAAGTCAGTATATTTTCTACCCCCCTCCCAGAGTCTGTGTGCGGATTGGGGTCTCTGTAAGGTACCAGCGAACTCCGCAGATCGATTTCTAGGAGTCCAAGTCTCTCTCACAGACTGCTCAACGAATCAAGATGCTCTGTTGGCGGAAAAAGTCTCGGCAAGAATCTCTGGTTGGATTCGCAGTCACAAACTCTCCCTCTACGGGAGAGTCATGGTCCTCTCATCTGCTGCCTTTTCCCTTTTCTGGTTTCCCCTCTCCGTACACTTGTTACTAGGGAATGGGGCGTATGCTCAAATCAAACGGGTGGCAGCCCGATACCTCTTGAAGTCGTCAGTTGCTGAGCACCAAGGCTTCATCATCAAGGTGGCGTGGGAAATAGTTTCAATGGCAAGGGAGGAGGGAGGTCAGGGCATCCTCGACCCATTGCAACAGAACAGGGCCCTGCTCACCAAGTGGATCATCGCAGCCACATGGGGGAACAAAAACAAGCTCTGCGTAAAACTAGCGGAACACATCCTTTCTCAAGAATGGGGATTGGCCAACACTGCAGATGTTTGGAGATGCCTTTTCATAGCATCATTTGCTCACAGACGTCCTAAGTCAAGACTGTGGAAGAGCATCCTGTTCGCTTGGTACAAAGTTTTCCCCAATAGAAGAGTCCAGCCCTCCTCTCCTACGGAGGTGCAACCAATTTCTTTTTGAGAATCCACTGGTACTCCAAGAAGATGGTTCCCCTTTCCTGGCAGATGGAAGTAGAGGGAGCTTTGGCAAAACCTGGGTGAAAAAAGGCTTCATCCAACTAAAGGACCTGTGGGATCCGGCCACTTAGGACTGGATAAGCCTTTCCTCTCTGCGCAGATCCATGCCCAGGATCCATAACCTCAGCGAAAACTTTGATATGCTGAAGAAAGTCACTCCAGTTTTCTGGCTGTGCCAACTGAAGAGCAACTCAGAAGCCCTCGCCGGAACCTGGCTTAAAGACCCTGAGACACCAGACCAATTTCTGAGGGTTTTAGGCCCAGATTTGCCGCAGGGAACCAAAGTACAAGTGTGGGCGGCACCCAAGAGAACTAGCAGAGATTCACCGCTGTAGCATCAGGGAGAGAAGACTATTCCATCAACATGGGGCTTTGAAGAAAGCAGGGTGTGGGCCCCAGATATGTCCAAGGACGCTAAGTGCTTAGTTTTATTTGAGAAAGCAATAGACATCACAGTGGAACCAACTCTGATAGGTTGGGAGAGACTTGTACGTGGCACTAGCTTCTCACCAGCCTACTTTTACCAGGCAAAGTGGGGGGTGCGAATCCTCAGAGCTAAGGTTAAAAAACAGGTAATCGACACTGCGTCTGAAAGACTGAGAAAGGAACCGGGATTCCAGGTCGGAGGAATGGACCTCTTCAAGCTATGGAAGCATCTAAAGGACATCCCCTCTCAAAAGCAAGCAAGCCTAATGTTGCAGCAATCAATGCTCGCCACCGCTTCAGCCTCCTGGCTTGCATCGAAGGGAATGAGAATCTCAGAGGAATGATCCTGCTGTCGGTGGGGTTGGCAAACGTCAAACCATATCTGGTTCTATTGCTCGCTGTCTGTGTGTCCGAAATTGGATTCAACACCTGTTTCTCGTTGAAAAATTGAACGCACATTCAATTCGCGTTCCATCCCCGTTCGAACGCGCGTTGGACGCAAATGAACGGCGTCCGCGAACCGCATTTTCGCGCGTTTGGGGGGGGGGGTAGGGGTTTTCTGAATGTGTGGGGTGGTAATGTCCGTTGTCGGGTACCGCCCCATGCATTTTATTTTTTTATTTTTATTTTTTTTGACAAAAAAAATAAAAAAACCCGCGCGAACCCGTTTGCGTCGTGCAGGGCATTCGCGGGGTGCCGGCCTTTGGCGGCCTGCTAGGGGGTGGCGCAGGGGAAACGGTCCGAACGGGTACAAAAAAGGTCGTTGCGTTCGGCCGCAGCTTATTTGCCGCGCGAGCCATAACGCTCCAACGCGACAAACGGGTTCTTCCTGCGTCCAACATAGCAGACAAGAGAGAGAGAGAGAGAGAGAGAGAGAGAGAGAGAGAGAGAGAGAGAGAGAGAGAGAGAGAGAGAGAGAGAG